TAAATAATCATGAAGATTAAAATTAAAAAAGAGACATAAATTGGAGAGAAGAGTGCGGAATGAAAACCTTTCAGTTATATGCACAGTTAAACAGAAATGTTTTGAGCCTGGATTTAAACAGCGTCACAGAAGAGTCTGTCTCACATGTTCAGACTGTTCCAGGTTTTAGCTGCATGAACCTGAAACGCTGACTCCCCTTGTTTAGTTCGTGACTCTGGGCACCAGCAGGAGGTTGGTCCCTGAGCTCCTCAGAGTGTGAGATGTTCATATATGACACTAACATGTCACAGATGGACTTTGGTGCTCGGCCATGGAGAGACTTGTACAAGTAGAGCTGCTTTAAAGTCTCTGAGCCACAGGAGCCAGTGCAGAGACCTGAGCACAGGACTTATGTGCTCGTACTTCCTAGTTCGAGTCAGGACCTGAGCTGCAGCGTTCTGGATGTTCTGGATGTTGTGGATGTTCTGGATGTTCTGCAGCGTCTCACAGCTCGTTTGGAGAGACCAGTGAGCAGAACATTACAGTATCTAACCTACTGGAGACAAATGCATGGATAAGTTTCTCCAAGTCTGATTTAGACAGTAAACCTTTGATTTTTGCTATGTTTTTTAGATGGTAAAAAGGCTGCAGATGTTATTGATTTTGATGTGGCTGTTAAAGTTCAAGTCTGAGTCCATTATTACCCCTAGATTTCTTGCCTGATTTGAAGGTTTTAGAGAGAGAGACTGGAGGTGACTGCTGACACTGTCCCTTTGTTTCTGTGGACCAAACACTATGACTTCAGTCTTGTCAGAGTTTAGCTGGAGAAAGTTGTTTTGCATCCACACACTGATCTGTTGGATGCAGTGACCAAGTGACTCCACTGGTCCATAGTCTCCTGCTGCCAGAGAGACGTAGATCTGAGTGTCGTCTGCATAATTGTGGTACGACACGTTATTGCTGCTTATTAACTGGCCTAATGGCAGCATGTAGAGATTGAACAACAGGGGGCCCAGGATTGACCCCTGAGGCACCCCACAGGTCAGGGCCATGTCATCTGAGACACAGTTTCCAATTTCAACAAAAATACTTCCTGTCTTCTAGATAGGACTTGAACCAGTTTAGTACAGTACCAGAGATGCCCACCCAGTCCTCTAGTCTCTGTAAGAGGATCCCATGATCGACAGTGTCAAAAGCAGCACTCAGATCTAACAGGATCAAGACTGAGACTTTGCCTGCATCAGTGTTCAGGCGGATGTCATTTGTCACCTTGATAAGAGCAGTCTCAGTGCTGTGGTGGCTCTAAAACCTGACTGGAAAACATCAAAGGAGTTGTTCATTTGGAGAAAGTTCGTAAGCTGTTGGTAAACAGCTTTTTCAAGGACTTTGCCAAAAAACGGCAGATTTGAGATGGGTCGGAAATTGTTCAGTACTGTGGCATCAAGACTGCTCTTCTTTAGGAGAGGCTTAATGACCGCAGTTTTCAATGCGTTTGGGAATGTTCCAGATTGAAGTGACATGTTAACTATGTGAGTGAGTGGTGAAAGTAAACTGTTGAGGACGGACTTTAGAAATCTAGTGGGTAACATGTCCAGGCAGCAAGTAGATGAACTCAGACTGGTAACGATCTCTAAAACAGTTTTGTCAGTTACAGGTGCAAAGTGATTCAGCTCTAAGTGTCTCTGTGGCTGCATGCTTGTTATTTGTGTTGTGGAATTGATGGCATTTTTGATACCCTGAACTTTGTCATTAAAGAAAACTGCAAACTCATTACATTTAGATGTGGAAATTAGTTCTAGTGGCAGTGGAGCTGGAGGGTTTGTTAATCTGTTCACTGTTGCAAACAGGACACGAGAGTTGTTACTGCAATTACCAATAATGTCTGAAAAATACTTCTCTCTTGTTTTACTCAAAGTGTAGTTGTACATATGCATTGTTCCTCTGTAAATCTCATAATGAACCTGGAGGTTTGACTTGCGCCATTTTCGCTCAGCCTCAGCCTCAGCCTCACTCCCTTTTCTGTGCCCTGACTGAGTCATCATTCCTCCACGGAGCTTTTTGCCTCTTTAACCATTTTAACCTTTATCGGGGCGATGGCATCCAGAACATTCAAAACACTCAAAGTCACAGAGTTCAACACATCATCAACATTAGAACATGAGGCAATTTCAAAATTTATAATTTCCATGAACAGTGCACCTGTGTTATCATTTATGTGTCTTCCTTCGAACAACTGTAGGAGCAGCCGGTGGTTTGGGAATAACAGACAGGTCAAAGAAGACACAGAAATGATCAGACAGAGCAACATCAACCACATTGACATTTGAAATATTTACACCCTTTGTAATGAGCAGGTCCAGAGTGTGCCCTCTGTTGTGAGTGGGCTCACTGACATGCTGAGTCAGACCAAAAGTTTCAAGGACAACACTAAGCTCTTTGGCATTTTTGTCACACACATTATCCACATGTACATTAAAATCACCTGTAATGACTAAACCATCAAAGTCTGTGCAAACAACTGAAAGCATCTCAGTAAAATCATCAATAAAACTTTGACAGTGCTGAGGAGGTTTGTATATGACTATGTAGAGTCTGGACGGTGATTGTTTTAGCTCCATTTTGAAGGAAACATGCTCAAATGATGAAAACACCCCAAATGACAACTTGTGTGTAACCAAATGATCTCTAAAAAATGCACACACTCCTCCACCCTTTTTATTTGCTCGTGTTTCAGATTCAAATTTGAAGTTGGGAGGGGTTGATTCCACTAGCACTGCATGACCTGTGTTTTTGTCAAGCCATGTTTCAGTTAAAAACATAAAGTCAAGATTAAAAGAAGAAATAAAATCATGAATTAGAAATGATTTGTTACATAAAGATCTGACATTGAGCACAGCAAGTTTCTGATTAGTTTCAGTAGGACTGGGTGTTATCTTCTTACAGGGAATGTGAACTAAATTTCTCTGATTAGACAGTCTAACTGTCCTTCTTTTAATCTGTCTACGTGTTGTAACTGGAGCTATAGCTCCATCGCAGGGCCCCAGCCTGATATTACCTTTATCATGACTGTATGTCCTGGGACAGCAGAGGCCCTGTGCGTCCTAGCTCTTGGTGATAACAGCTCTGGGGAAAGGCGGGGGAGGGCGAGCAGGGGAGAGTTTGGGTGAGTGACCAGGTGAGGGACCAGGTGAGGGCCGAGGAGGTGGAATACAGGGAGGTTTGGGTGAGGGGCCAGGTAAGGACCGAGGAGGTGGAGTAGGGGGAGGTTTGGGTGAGGAGGTAAGGACCGAGGAGGTGGGTAGGGAGGTTTGGTGGGTGAGGGGAGAGCTGAGAGAGTCTCTGGTGGTGAAACAGGCACAGTTTTGTATGGGGGAGAGTATAGTTGATGTCAGAACCCTTGACCGTGCTATGTTAGGTGTGAGAGGAACCATCTTGATTCCCGATCTGATGAGGCTTTCTAGATGGTTGGGCAGTGCCATGGGTGAAGGTGGGGAGGAGAAGGAGAGTGAAGAGTCCGTTGATGGAGTAGATGTAGCAATGGGGACTCCAGGCTGGTCTGTGGGCAGCGGAGGTGATGGGTGTGCTGGTGGCGCTGGGGGAGGTGGTGGTGGTGTTGCTGACTCATTCTCTGGGGGAGGTGGTGCTGCTGACTTATTCTCTGGGGGAGGGGAAGGTGGTGATGCTGACTTGTTCTCTGGGGGAGGGGGAGGTGGTTCTGCTGACTTGTTCTCTGGGGGAGCGGGAGGTGGTGATGCTGCTGAGTTGTTGTCTGGGGAAGTGGTTGTGGTTGTGGCAGTGGTGGTGCTGTCAATGGTGCTGACTCGTTGGCTGGTTCTCTGTTTGGTGCAGTAGGGATGCTTCTCCCATTTCTCTTTTCTCTCACTGGATGCACAGGACCCTGTCCAGGCCGGTGCCTCAGAGCGTGGAGGAGGTTTTCCGTCAACACTTACTCCACCTCTGCTTAGGTGTGGGCCATTTCCCTCAAACAGGTCCTTCCGTTTCCAAAAAAGATCAAAGTTCTCAATGTAGTGCAATCCTCTGGCCGCACACACGTTCAGCAGCCACATGTTCAGCTGAAACAGTCGGGTAAATTTGTTCCTGTTCCTTAGGTCTATGTTGGGAAGAGGTCCACTGATAAATGTCTTAACCTCCACTTTATTAAGCTCCTCGAATAATTTAGTGAAATCCCTTTTCAAGACTTCACTCTGTTCCATTCTGATGTCCACTGCACCCACATGCACAATCAGCTGTTTAACCCCTTGGTGTGTTAACAAAACTTTTGGCAGGAGTTTTGTTATCTCAGAAACAGTGTACGTCGGGTAGCAGCATGTTAGGATTCTTCTGTGACTCACACCACTGATAGCCCCGTCTCCTAGCAGCAACGTATCTCTGACCTTGACGTTTGGCACAGATTCCCGGTATGCCTGCACTCTTTTGCCAACTTTATTGTTCTTGTTTTGTGATGACAGTACATTATCCGTTTGTACGTTAACATCAGTCTGTGACAGTGGTGAAAATCTGTTTGTTAGCTTTATTGTGGGTGATATAACGATATTAGCATTGTCTTTTACCACTCGCTGCACTGGCTTAGCATTTTGGTCTGTACCAAGTTTCTGAAGAAAAGACACAGTATCACTCAGGTTTAAGTTGAAAGAATTTCCACCCTCTTCTCTGGAAATAACTGTAGGTTGCTCACCACTGGAAGTCACTGGTAGCGTCTGATGAAGTCCTTTTTCAGTTTCTAAAGCAAATATCCGTGCTCGCAGCTCATAAATTTCTTGTTGATAGTTCCGACAGCGCTCACAGATAGAATTCCCTTGGTTTCTTCTCCCCGACATGTTGGCTCATCAGATGATTTGTTAAAAAATGTAAAAATGTTTAAAAGTATTAATTTGCTTAAAAGGAAATCAAAAATAGACACATTATCAAAAATATAAAAAGCGAAAACAGCAGGAGCAAGCAAGGATAGCGTCCGCACTCTTCAGAAGCAGGAAGTGCATACATACATAGTGCACTTTAAAGACAGTAAAACGCTCTTTATTAACCATTAAAATTCTTTCTTTACATGAGGAAAACAATAAAATGAAACACAAATGAGTTCAAGTGGCACAAAAAATGTTCACAGATAAAACAACAAAAAAATAGCTTTTAAAAAAAAGTTTGTTTTTTTTTACCCAAACCTGTGCCGGTTCCACGGAGATTCTTTTTCTCTTTTATTTTCTTTCATTTCCAAAGCCAAATATTTGTGCAGCTCACCATAAATTGTACATTTTCTGGTTATTTTCTCCATGCAGATGTTATTTCCTTGTCTGGAATGTTCCGCAGTATGGCACTGAACCTCTCCGTCTTGACGGAGACCGAACCAGACCGAGATAGAGGTCAGATCTGTGGAGAGGCGACCCCGCTCACAGTGACAATGTTTGTTTTTCGAGGTGTTTTTGAGCTATAAAAAGTAAAGTAGAGCTGTTTAATGTCACACTGTGGAACATTCCAGGCAGAGCAATGACGTATCCATAGAAACAAACAAGAAAAGTTACATAAGGGCCCGGTCAAGGAGAAGTAAACAACAAGGCCAAAAATTCAAGTTAATTCATCTGATATAAAAATGTATTGAACAGATACATATGTCTCTAGTTTATGAAACTGCTGATATTTTTTCTGCACCATTTTTGGTTCTAAAGTTCCATACGTTTTAAACAGACCATGTATGAAACATGGAACAAAAATTATTTCCCAAATTTCAAAGACCTGCAAATCCTGTAAATAAATGGATGTATTTCATCATATCTTGTTTTATTCCATCTTTGAACTGTTGATGAAGGTACAGGATTTTTTTTTTTTATGTATTTAAAATGATAAAAATTTGGACTGACATATTTTATAGAAAGAGTTTCCTTTCATTTTGAAGTAATATTAAAGTATTTGGAAGAAAAAAACTGACAAATGATGTAAAATCCTGCACCTTCTACTTGCTTGAACAATTTTCCCTCCGTTACCATGACCTTTCTTAATAAAAAATCTCATGAGTCAAAAAGTAAGAGGTTTTTCAACCTAATCTTGTACCATATGGTAGAAAACTATATGAAGCAAATATTCAAACCAGTTTGTTCAGGATATGTAAGTGAGAACCAAGAGTTATCACTGTTTGGATTTATTGCCCAAAAAGTGCTGCATATTTCATTCCCTCCGTTACCAACATGAGTTTTTTTATTTTTTGTCAACAACTTGAAATAATATCACAGGTTTAACTTGATCCTGTTGGAGTGTAACTCTTTCCTACATTCTGATACTTTACTTATTTCAATAGTCCCTCTAGTTTCTGAATAAGAGACATTTGAATGTCAAAAATCTGCCCGTTTCCCTCCGTTACCACTTGACCGGACCCAGAATGCAGCTTTCTTTACATGAGAACGACAATAAAATGAAACACAAATGAGTTCAAGAAGCTCAAAAACATGTTCACAGATGAAAAAAAACAAAACACAGCATTTTTTTTTTCTTTTTTACCCAAACCTTTGCCAGTTCCACACAGATTGAAGACAGATTTTTTTCTCTTTCATTTCCAAAGCCAAATATTTGTCCAAATCGCTATAAATCTGTATTTGATTTAGAAAAAACCCCTCAAAATTTCATCCATAGTGCTCATTTTGATTCTGGTCGCTCTTTAATTCTTTTTCTCTGCAACCCTGTGTTTTATAATTCGTCCTACAGGCCTATAGTTCTTTGTAGACCTATTCATGTTTGTCTTTAACATTCCCTGGAGGTGTTCATCATGGAGGCTTATATTCTTTGTGTGCGTACATCTGTAGTTCTCTGTAGGTTTAGAGTTCTAATTCTTCTTTCTTTAGGCCTACAGCTCGTCCCTCCTGTAGGTGAACTCTCTGGCGGTCAGGTATCCGTCCTTGTTCTGGTCCTCCTTCTTGAAGATGTTGTCCGTGATCTCCTCGTGCAGAGTGTCGTTGGGGGGGTGTCCGTTCAGCTCGAACTCCTTCCTCAGATGTTCCTTCACCTGGAGAACACAGCAGATCTGTCACCGAAGGACTGAAAAATACAATAATTACAGACTTTTATAGAGACATTCTAGTCATTTGGTCACAATTTGGAAAGAAAATGAGCTTGTTTTAAAGCAGGGGTGGGCAAACTTTTTGACTCGTGGGCCACAAAGGGTTCTAAAATTTGACAGAAGGGCTGGACCAGGAGCAGATGGATGGAGTTTTTTGGTAATCCACCTCATAAGAGAAAAAATTATTCCATGTTATTAAAATATCCCATAACTGAAAATCATTACAAAGCATTACGCAACAAAAGCAAAAGCATAAAGCAACAAAATATTTGTCTTTCAAGTCCCACAGTATTTACAGTTTATTGAAATGACACTGAAAATTATTATTATTATTAAAGTTTGGCAGGCCGGATTAAAAAGATTAAAGGGCCACATATGGCCCCTGGGCCTTAGTTTGCCCACCCCTGTTTTAAAGAGACATTAAACCATCTCCTGAAGCTTTACTCCGCCCTTAAGCAAAATCTGAAAAATCCTCCAGAGTTGGTTTTACCCGGCGGGTCCAGGGAGCGGGTGTGGGGCTCTGGAGCGATGATTGACAGCCGACCGACAGCCACGACAATCCAACATGGCGCAGACTGGTGCCTCCGGATTTTGAAACAGAGTGAACATTTGCGCTTGTTTCCCCTTTTCTCCTAACCTGATTCATCAGCTGGTTTCACTTCGTGGAAACCGTCTGACCTCACAGCACTAGAATTCACTCACTCAACTGTAGGTGGGTACTTTTTTAAAATGTATTTTATAATTGTATTAAGCTTTTCCCACATTCCTGCAGGAAAAAGGACAATAATGTCTTCCCCCTTAGGTTACGACCCCAAAAAGTGAGTCCCAACATATTTAAAAAGGACACAGGAGTCAAAATATAGCTCTTTAATTTCTTTTATTTATAGTTGGTTCTTAATTATTTTTTTTTACGTTTTTAAAGAAATGTAAAATCCCTCCCACGCCCCAAGAAATTATGAAAAGCAACGAACAGAAAGGTGGACCTGGCGAGCAGGCCAAACAGAACAAAAAGGTGCGACACCGGGCCGACGCCGTACAGGGCCGGAGAAGCCGGTGCCAGCGCCTGTAACTAAAGACAAGAAAAAACACAAACAAACCTGAACCCAAAAGAAAAGCGAAAACAGGACAGACGCTCCCACCAGGTCAAGACAAAAGGAAAATGGCTAACGAAGGCCACATGGAGCCCACCCTGCACCTGTCTGACAGGGGCGAGGCCACCGTCAGGGCGTGCGCACGGAGTCCGGAGCGCCCAAGGTGAGCGGGGTCGGGCAGAGCAGGGCGCACGAAGCGGAGGAGCAGAGAGACAAACAACAAACAGCCGTATTTATAGGCTCCGCACAGCCACGCAAAACCAAACCACAAACAAAAGTCACGCAAAAAGGACTAATTACAACTTAATACAAAAGGGAACAAAAACAACTAATGATCTGAATCAAGGTGCCCGCACGTAACGCCTTGATAAAATTCACCAAACATTCTCTTTATTCCCGCTTTAATTCCTCGATCTCAGGAATCGCTGCCAACACAGAGAATGTCTGTCTCATCACTGATTGGCTGGTGCTTGAACTCACACTTCTGGGGTTCTTGTGAATCGTCTAGTGTATTCTGATTCCAGACCTAGTCTCTGGAGAGACGCCAGTGTCTGAGCTCGTCACATAATAACCTGCGTCTGACTCATCGGCGCTGTTAGTCCAACCTGAAAACTCAAATGTCCTGACCGTAGTTGATCCTAAAGAGGCCGACACAGACACGACTTTGACCCAAAAGTCAGACTACGTTTACACAGAGTCAGGTTTGTTGAGAATCAAATATTTCCCTCCCTCTGTTTTCCAAAATAACATTGTGCACACAGCATCGTTTTCAAAAATGTTTTCGTTTACATCGACCCACATAAATACGTCATCGAGCACCGTCGACACCTGGATTAGATTCAAACCTGTAGCTTTTATTTCATTACAGTTGTAAGTTTTTGTGGGAAATTATGTGCTGATCATGCTAATTCACCTAACATTATAGACTTTAGAATGACAGCAGGGTGGAAAAACACACGTGTGATTATCTGTAGGTCTACATAACATGTATTTCTGTACTGGAGTGTCATAAAGAATATGTTTTCTGGACTTTGAGTGCTAAGGAGCAGCAAAACTGACATATGTGGTCCCCGTGGCATGGTCCCACCCATGATAAGGTGTACTGGGTCAGCAGTATTGTTCATTTTCTTGCTGTATATGCTAACTCAACAAGTTAATGTTTTGTCAAGATGTAGTATAAAGCTACCCCTGATTTTGAGTTGGGGAGTTGAGGCGTCGTTCCGGGGTGACAGTTGTACATGGTAATCAACTTGAATCCTCTCAATGGAAAATGACGAAATAAAGTGGCTTGTTCTCTCGGATTCTCTCGTGCTTCTTTCTAAGGACACGCATGGAACCTTCCGAAAAAACCCACAAGTGGTGACCCCGACGGATGATTTGACAGAGTAATGTCTGCAAACGATGCCTCCCACGAAATCCTGGAAGTAAAGACACGAAGAACATGTTCCCAAAAGAAGGTATGACAGCGACCTTTGTTGTTTCAGAATTCCTGTCAGATTGGCTAAATGTAAAAACTAGAAATTGTGTTTACTTTCGGGACTTTTGTGTGATCAATTTAAAAATTAATGGAAGACTGATTATCGCATGTTATGCTTCATGGAAAAGAAAAAAGCAAAAGCTCGAATCCGTGTTAAAAGGCTTCACGTAGAAAATAAGCCAGAAGTATTTTAATTGAGATTGAAAACAAAACCAATAGTATGTTTAGGCTTTAATCACATAAAGCGTAATTAAGAAAGTTATTAATTTTATAAAGGTTCCGTGTTATCCTTCACGAGAGACAAGAAAGGAGGTTTTATAAAGAAATTTATTTGCGGTTAAACTTTTTTACGCAGAGAAAAAACTAAACTTTTAATGGAGTTTATATTTAAAAAAGAATAAAAAACTTAAGTTGCGCACAAAAAGTAGAACACGAAGAAAGGAGTCAGATTTAATATAGAGACAAAAGAGTAGAACCAATTGAAAAACAGTACTGTAAAATAAAATCTAAATTGTTATGACAAAAGTATTAGTGGTTTTTATTTAAATTATGAGCTCTAAAAAGAAACCGAACCTGTTCAAGGAAAGTTGAACATGAACATGAAATTATAAATGACCGAAGGTCTAAAAGAAACGAGCCTGTTCAAACGAACATGAAATTATATGAATTGACCGAAGGTCAATAGAACAAGTGAACCCTGCGAAGCAGAGAGTGTGTCGCCCTCCCCACGGCAACACATGAGTAACTAAGAAATAAGTCACCTTTAAAACTGTAACAGTCTCAACTTTAAATTTGTAGCACTAAAAGCCACGTTTGCAAGAAACAAGTCAAATAAGTTAAATAAGTTTAATAAATGTTATTAGTGAATCTGATATAACCATGAAATAGTTAAAGAAATAACCGGTTTTGGGAGTAAGAGATTACAAGTACCAGCATTATGTAATCAGAGTACAATTATGAGTAACTGTGCTCAGTTACAGTTACTGTCTCAATGAGTGGTAACTGGATTACAGTTACTTTGTTAAAATAAAATAAATTACTTGCAGTATTTTCCTGTTTTTACATTTGGGACTGAATCGGGTCTAAGTCAGGACTAGACCAGGTCTAAACAAAAGATAAGATAAGAGTGAAGCGGCAGTAAACTCACATAGGAAGCATTTTTCTATCAATAATTCAATAGGCTTAAGGAAAAACTGAGGTTTTATTGTCTTCAAGTAGATAAAACATTGTACACCAAGATATTCTGGTCTCTTGTTATTTTAGAACAAACAGTTGTTTATCTATGGAAATTTAGGCTTAATAATTAAATAAGAACAAACAAGAATTTGCAGGATGTGTTTGCTCTATTTGTGTAGTTTTAAAACCAAGATAATATCAAGTAATTCAAAGTATTCAGATAAAGTTACTTTAAGAAATTTTAAGTAATTTTTTGCTATGTAATCTGTAATCTGGACTCTGTAAGGGAATATGTTTTAAAAGTGACCCTCCTAACACTAAAATAACTGAGAATGCAGTAAATATAATGCAGAATCTTTGTCCTTCAAACTCATCTAATATTGCCAAAATACTAAAAGATCTAAAAGAAGAATATGACATATTAAAAACGATGTTGAAAGGAAGTATTGGTGGCATTTTATTCTGGGGTACATTGTTGTTATGGCTGCCCGCTGGTTGGGATGATGGTAAATGATTGATTTGTTGTCCATTGGCGTTTGCTCGGCTTTTGTCAGTGTCTGATTCCCCATGAGGTTGTTTCGCTTGTTGGCTGGGCATTTTGCGTGCGCTCACCTGTGGGCGTTACTTGCCGCTACTTTTCGATGCGATACTGGCTCCTCGTATGTGAATTCAATTCATCTGCGGGAGCAGTTTGGTGTCGTGTTGATGAGCGGTGGTGGGAGGCGCGTGTGCAGGGGGCGTATGTGCTGGTGTCCGGCTGATGGCGGAGTGGGTTTGTGGGGTTTTTTGACGCTGGTTCGCGCTGTGGGAGGTGAAATGCTGATGTTGCTTAAACTGCTTAAACTGCATTGTATATTTGCTTTAGATTTGTTCAAAAGTGCTCCGTTTTAAATTTAACTAAACATGTTCAATTGTGTTTATGGTAGAGAGTAAGTCTACCAATTTGCTTGATTGAAGATGCTTATTTATGGTTTAAATAAAATGATGGGCTATTGCTGAAGTTTCTGAAACAGCGTGGTTAATTGTTGAAAGCTTTGTCGGCTTGATTCAATTAATGCTGTGACTTTAAGCTTGGTAATGGCCTGTTGTTCCATGTTGAAATAATAAATCCGTGTGATAATACAGTAAACGGAGCATTTTTTGATTAGATACAGCATTTCATTTCTCAGCGGTGTCGAGCTGAGCGGGTGCTGATGGTTAAC